GCCCTCATTCCCCACTACACCCTTGGTACGGAGTAGGGAAGATGGCTTGCAAATCAGGTATTAGTGATGCGCTTTTGTAACGATACTTGGATTGACGCTGATCTTGTTTTGCAAAATCTTTTAGCTATCCACTCTCACATCGCATCCACACAGCCAAAGGCTACCCACTTCGAACTCCCAATGGCTCCTCGGTCATTATTTATGGTTATGATGCTGGGTTAAAAATTGTGTGGAGAGGAGGGAAACGATTTGCAGAACCAAAGCCGACTGGACCTCAAGCGAAGCCGAAACCCGCCGGAAACAATGCGGATCCCGATTCAGTCATGATCATTGACTCCGATGACGAAGAGGAATCCGAACCAGCACAAGAAGAGCCCGTGGTTGAATTTAGCTTGGAAGAGAGCGAGGTTGACCTCGCTGCTCCATACGAAGAGATTTTGCGACAAGTTGACATTCCCCTTGGAAGCCGAGTGCTGGATGTGGCGGTGCCTCGTGTTCTCCCCGATGAAGCTCGCTCGCCTTTGGACCCCTTCCCACCTATTCTGAGAAACACGATAATTGTGTCGGTAGTTTGTTCCGACCTCTCGACAAAAGTTGTGACTCTGCCACTTGTGCCTCCTCACCCTGCGCAGAAGGATTCGAAGAGCTGGCGCATCCAAACTCTCACCGTCAATGGGGCCACCACTCATCAAGATGTTCCACGTGGCGTATCTCTCACATTCACCTGCCATGAATTTGAGGATGAGCAAGACCAGCGAAAGTCGCGAGGCCGGTTTGGAAACTTTGGTAAATGGGACCTGCTTGTGGCCACGCATTCGGCAGAGGGATGTGGTGTACTATTACTGCACCGAATTCCAATTCGCGAGGAATCATCTTTCCGTCTCGTGGAAGAAGATATCGTCTCTCAACGGCGCCTCTTGCCAGCACCTGCACAGACGATTGCCTTTAACCCTTCAACATGGCCGTCCGTCCGCCATGCCAACCTACTTGTCGCATTTCACAGCGGATGCGTCAAGATTTACTCCTGCTTTATCAAGAAGGCCTCGAAATCCTCGCGGCTGGCTTCGATGCCACAAGACGATTACGAAATTATTGACACGGAAGGTCGCTGGTTGATCAGTTTGTACCCCGGCTTTGAGCAAGGACCCACCGGACTTCCTCGGCGGAAGAGAATCATTGATGCCGACTGGGTATTAGGCGGCCGAGCAGTGATGGTGCTTCTCGAAGACGGCGAGTGGGGCGTATGGGATATCGAAGGAGCCGGTCCTGGTGCTGTCAAAGGCCCTCTGCACCGCCAGACGAGTGTCCAAGGTGTGACTGGCGGTTCATTGACGGTATATGCTGTCTGCGGCCGTATTATGTCACCACTTTCCAATACAAACTCCGAAACAGAGCAGCGTCCCCGATTTGCACCTATGACACCATCCACAAGACGTGTACGCGAAGATGGCTTGCTGAAAGGATCTATGAGCACCGCTAGTCCATCCCACCGAGGCCAAATCTCTGTCTTGCAGACAAATCCTTCGTCAGATGCGTTGCCCGACGAGTCGATTCTGCTCCGTCATGGCCGTCAGAGTGCGGTTATCACGAGCTTACTGTCTCTGTGGCGCAACGCCGTCAAATCCACCGGCACATTTGATTCCTCAAACCGATGCCGTGTTTCTCCTTTCCAGGACGTGAACTTGATGGGCCAGAACTTCCAGGCAATTGGACACCTACCTGCGCCGGCACGCCAATCCCGGCAAGCAGAGCGGCAAGCTTTCGATGTACTCGTGGCAGCAGAGCACCAGATTATGATTCTCGCCCCGAAATTGACTGAATCTGTCGAGGAAAACCTGCCCGCGGTGAAACAGGAAGAAACAGAAGATACCGACCAGCTGATGCTCCGACGGGGCGAACTGGATGTGGAGGGAATGGGCCGTCTACTGAATGGTATGGTCGGCGGAAACGCGTGTATGCGCATGGGGAGCCCTGTGAAGCGGACTCGTGTTTTCGCCTGATCCCAGTCATAGTCTACTAATACCCATATTCCAAGTCTCTTGCTTTTACCGTGCTCACGTTTCTCCCCACATAGGAAACTATTCGCGCTGTAAGGTGGAGCGCAAGGCGAGATCCATGCCTTGAAATTCCTTCTTCGGAGGTGAATAAGCTCTGTATCGGATGCGATATATCAATGACCATTGCAAAAGGTGCTATGCACGACCCCCCTAATGTTGCAATTCTCGTGTTTGGCTTTGGGTTTCCATCTTCGCCTCTGTCCTACTGCGGATATCGATCTGTCTCTTGGCAAATTCTACATCGGTAGCCGCAATGGGAAAAGGAGGGGATGGCCAAAGTTGGATGCGAGTGACTATGGGAATAATGGAACATCAAACCGTAGATCTGTAGGTTTTACAGTTGAAGACTATCATAGCTTTTTGTACCATGTTCATAGTGACATTTCTTGTGTTAATGACTCCTTATCCAAGTGCAGTGCAGCAAAATACCATCTATAGAGATCGATGCTGGCCTTCCTTCAACAACCCACGATCACCACTACCACCCTTCTGCCACAACCAGATACCCTCAACTGCCCATGCAGCAGCGCTGGCGTGGCGACCAACACCGGACGCAAGGGGCAAGTTACTACCCTCCTCGGCATCCTTTGCATTCTTGCCCTTGTCTCTACCCTGGGTCTGACCAGCAGAGCCATCGGCCTCGGCAAGCATACCGGCAACAATGCCTTCCTTTTCAATAACAAACCAAAGTCCATCAGACAGCTGCCCGCCCCGTTCTCCAAACTCTGCCCGGCCTAGACGGAATAAGATCCGGCCGATGACTTGCCATGCGATGCATCGCTGAGCCGGAAACGTCGAGCGCGCTAGGATCGCCAGCTCAGGAATCGTGTAGCCCGCGGCATGCGGATCTTCGCCGTGGTGGTGCAGGCCCATGCTTGTTGGGAGGGAGAGGGATGTTTCGGGCGCAAGAATGGTGCCTCTTAGCGAGAAGCGGATTGCCGAGGGCGCCATTGAGACGGCGTTGCTAGCTGGGTGGTAGGGCGACGTCGAGTCTGGGTCTTCTTCGTCGGCGGAAAGGGGTTGCAGCCAGGAGAGCGTTGATGGGTCCTGGGCTATCTCGGGGAAGTAGTGTGACTGGAGATCTGATAGGAAAGATGGTGAAGATGGGTCCAGGACTGGCATTGGTGTTGTTGGCTGAGGGAAGTGAAAGGTTTCAATAGTAGCTGGGTCAAGGGAGGGCCGTTCAGAGGCCGGGTGGAGGTCTTGAGGGAGGGAAGATGGAGGGAGATCTTCATTACGGGGGTGCGGCTTAGATGGTGGTTTGGGTATAGAATGAGACTGTGCGCTTGGTGCAGAAACCAGTGCAGACGCAGGAATGTCGAAGGAAACAGATTTTTTTGGTTTGGATGTTTCGTTGGCCGCAGGTGCCGGTGGTTCAAATTCAGTATTTTGATCCTCTTCGATATTTGCTCTGCGGAGGAATCGTTCTAGAAGCCCTGGATCCATTTGTTCCATCAACTCCTCTCGTTCCTGTTGGATCTGCGCGACCGACATGGCCGCCAGCTGACGGCGGTTCTCCTCGTCAATGGATTTCTTTTCATCTTGAACGGTTGGCTGAGTAGGCGTGGAATCAGGAGGAGTAGGCTGATTTGCTCGTCGCTGTTTGAAGGAAGATGGCTTGCGCTGGCGAGGGGCAGGGAACCCAGTCGATGACGCCGACAAGGTCGGCAATATAGGCGCGGGGGGAATGGCGGTGGAGGGAGCCCGTTCTTGGATTTCGCCAACGAGAGAAAATGGGGAAGGGATTTCTGGAGCCCCAGATTCCTCATCTAGGTCCAGGAGGAAGCGTTCACCGCGAAAAGCCATTATGCGTAAATACGGTGAAGAGGAGAAAAAAAAAGTTATGTCAGCGCGGGGAGATCCATGGATGCGGCTCTCAAAGCTAAAATGGGGCTGCAGAAAGGGCTAACCAAAATAGGACTAGTGGTGGATGGCGGATGTGCTAGTCCCAATTGGGTTCCTCACACTGTTCCGTGGCATCTATACAGCTCGCTTCGATCTTGCTATGCTAAACACGAGTTGGATGCTGATCGGTAAATTCAAATCCTTTAGCATACATGGAAGGGTATTCTCGTTTTTGTGGGGGAGGGGGAGGGGGAGGGGGGGTTAGCCTTTCTGCTAAAAGAATTTCGTGAACATCGCAGTCGATATTTGTCGTGCCTAATCATAAGCTTCCATTGGGATACACCGGCAGGATCAACCCTACTTTGACTCTTTATCAACTATCAAACAAAAGAAATTGGAAGGTTCATGTCAAAACTAAACCTCGAAATACTCTGCGTGTCTGACCTGAGGAACACAAGACGATCCGGTTAATGAAGCCATTCATGTATCAGGTACAACTTGCGGTTCTGGGTTAAACGATCCGTAGGGGATTTATAGGGATGTGATCTTTCAATATTCAACAATGACCTGGAGTAAATATAATCATACATACATCGTGTAGAGGTATAGCACTATGATAATTCTCTATACGAGGTAGTGTAATTCCTTCGGATTATCAAGTGCTGTATATAGAGCTTAACATAACTATCAAACTCCAGTTCTTTTAGTACTTTGCCATGCGTAATGTGCTTTAATTCTAATGTGCTTTTTCTCTCCCCTTTCTTCCCTCTTCTTCCCTCTTTTTCCCTTTTTTTCCTTTTTTTTTCTTCTCCCTTCCTTTATTTCGGCACTCTTCTCTTCAACATTTTCCCCTTCTCCCCTTCCGCCTCTCTTCTTCTACCTTTCCCGCGTTTTCTTGGTGCTTTCTTTCTTCCGTCACCATCTTATCTTTCTTGTTTTCTTGTTTTCTTTTTTTCTTTCCTCCCCCACCCCAATCTCTGTTTGCTGACCTGATACCGACACGTTTCACCACTTTGACTCAACTCTCGTCATCTCGATTTTGGCCAAATTTCATCAATTTTTCACTTTTCAGTTTGTTGATTGTGATTTTGTCATACCATGTCGGATCCTCCTAATATGGGAATACCTAAAGAAGAAGGGCCTATTGACACTGATGTCAAACCCGGCACAGGCTCCCGACGTGCCTCCGGTACCGCAAGGCGGTCGCGTCGTAAGAAGGATGATGACCCCGACACCAAGAAGAAGGAAACAGAACCTAAAGAAGCCAAAGAAGCTAAAGAAAAACCGACCCGAGCTCCTCGTCGCCCACGGGAGAAATCAAACAACACTGCTTCCCGAAAAAAGCCCAAGCTGCAACCTGCGGCAGAGGAAACGAGGGTTGCTCCGGTAGACGCCAGAAGCCCTCCACACGCCCCTGCAACGCCTCAACCTGCTCAGCCCGCTCAACCTACTCAACCTACTCAAATAGCTCCACCTCCTCACCCTGCTCCAACTTCATACTCAAATCCTCATCCCCCTACAGCCCCTGCACCTTCGTATCAGTTGTCGCAACCATCTCGCCAACAATCACAATCGCAACCTCCAGTCCCGCAACCACCACCTCAACGAACCAGTGGACAAAACTTTGACCCCATTCGTTCTGCGTTTGACAATCCATCTCCAGCACCATCATATAGTCCTCCTGCTCGCACAATTTCTCCTCGCAATGCTTATCGTGCCAGTGCATCGCCGGCGATTTCAAGCATCATTGACCCGCCAGCCCCTAGCTCTCAACCAATATACAACTCGCTTCAACGCTCGTCCTCTAGCCATGTATCTGGCCTCTCTTCTCCGGCACCGCCTGCGATGGTTCCCACACTCTCACATCCGTCCTTAGCACCATCGCCTCTTCCGACATCCTCTGCTTCCCGTGGAGCCATGCATATCCCGCAGGCCATGTCACAGTCCACCCCCTACACCACCCCGTACCCACCTACCGAGCAGCGGCCAACACCGTCACAAACTCCTACACTTGAACAGTCCCCACCGGCAGTTCACCAACCTCAACCTCCCGCGCAACCCGCTGTGCAGCCGACTCCTCCCAGACAACAAGCGGCTGAATCGATGGAAATTGACCCCGCAGAGGAGGCACCCAGTGCCAAAAAGGAAAAGAGCACCTCTTCTGCACCGGCATCAAAAGCCTCATCTCCCAAGCCAGCTCGACCTGCCAAAGAGGCCCCTCATCTGCCTCAAGGGTCTGGCTTGATCACAACCGCACTGTTCGGCGGAGGAGATGATTCTGCAAAGTCGCCTGACTCGCGTAGCACACCCAGCATCATCGTTCATGTTCCGCTGCAAAAGGGCAACCAGATTGTCAACTTTGCACGGCTTGCAGAAGAGCAATATGGCTTTGCTGCCTTACACCCTCGTCTGGCCGCTCACAAGGCACGCATGGCTCGTGTGGCAGCTGCCGGGGCTGCGTTGGAACGAAATGATAAGAACGCCAAAGGAAACTCTGCCGGCGAGAGCGCCGACGAGGACCTGAGCCTCGATGCGGAACGCGATAGTGATATGGATGGCGATGTTCCCATGGGCGGCATTGGCGCAGGGACCAACGGTGCGCCCTCGGAAGCTAGCGATGGAAAGAAGAAACGACGCAAGAAGGTCGAGGAATATGACCGTGATGATCCGTTTGTGGATGACACCGAAATGGTGTGGCAGGAGCAGGCTGCTGCCAGCAAGGACGGGTTCTTTGTCTACAGTGGGCCACTGGTTCCAGAAGGAGAAAAGGTCCAGGTGGAACGGTATTTCTACTCACTACCTCGTTACTACAGATTCACTGACTATTTGTAGCGCCGACGGTACTATCAAACGGGGTCGTGGCCGTGGGCGAGGAACGGGTCGGGGACGAACCGTGACCTCGCATCCACACGTTCCTATTGCAGCTGCTGTGCCCGTCTCCCAAGATACTGGCCTGCCATTGCGTGGGCCCGGCTCTCGGGGTGGAACCTCGCGCCGTCCGCGAGGCAATAAGAAGGCCGACAGCGGTAGTGACCGCGCTGCTACCGCTGTATCCGTTGCTCATGAAAGTCGTGGTGGCCGTGGTGGGACTGGAACTCCTGGCCGTGGTGGGACTAACAGCACTCGGGGTGGAAAGTCGTCTATATCAATCCCGATGCCAGATCTTGCTCCTGCGCCATCGACCCCGAGTGTTGCCCATGGACCCCCTACTCCGAGCCCGCTAGCTGGCCCAGATCTCATGACGAAATAGAGAGTGTGTTCACTGGTTTGTCGTGGGAGTTGCTTGGTGCTCAGAGCTTTATGACTTTGTCTGATTCATTTATTTGTGCCATCACCTTGCTTATGGGTTTGATTTGCCCCTGTTCTATGTTATATTTTGTCGGTCTCGAGAAACCGTTTGCTTTGTGAACACATGGGCTCTGTATGCACCTCGGTCCTGTGATGGCTGAATATATATCGATTCATAGTCAGTCATTCAAGATGCTTCTAATGAACCAATGTAGATTATGCCATCAAACCAACTGGTAGTACAGCTCTTGGAGTAAAAAGGTACCTAAATAAACATGCCGCATACGAATCTGCACCGGTATTGGTATACAAGAAATGGCGTTCAATCATGTATTTAATGATCTAATGTACGTTCATCCGTCATAGCGTCTACTTACTTTTGTGATGTAGACTTTTTCCTCTACTATAGCCGCCCACCACTGAGTCAACCAATAAGTACAGAGAACAAAACAGACCATGCTGATCCGCAGTGAAGGGACAAAACGGTCAAGTCTTTTGTTGCGCATGAAGCGCTTTGCTTCCACGCCTTGATTCGAGAGCCATTCGCAGGATGGAATTATTCCATACCGATTCTCCCTATCCTCTAGAGACGGCAGGCTTTATCATTGAAAACCCACCCTGCATATTGCAGGGCTTCCTCGATGACCATAACAGGGGTGATCACGTCGGCAAATTCTTGGTGTTACTTCAGACTTCACAGATATACATTCAGCTCGGCCTGCGACTAGGCCGAATTCTCCCACCCCAGCTCGAGATTTTTACCCTGTCTTTCGCAATTTGCTCCTCGACCACAAACATCATGTCGACAAATAAGCCCCAAGATGTCCGGATCCCATTTGCCATCAAAACCGTCAGACACCCCTTGGCGGAGGACTTGATCTACATGGCCAATGCTGGCCCGTTGCGCCGTGGCCCCAAATTCAGCGCTGGATCCCCAATGACGCCACCTATACAGACGTTCTAAGGAAATCGCCAGGTTGCTTGATGAGCATGGCTTGCTTACTCTGCTTCTCTTTGGTGCATCCCCACTGCGCAGCATGGAACCTTGACTTTCCTATAGCCCTGAAGAGACTATTCTGGCATCTGAGCTCGGTTGTAACGACAGTCACCATGCTATTTGCCTATTTGAATGATCGAATCCAAGATTCGATCGAGTTGAAGGTGTTCAAGATCGAAAGCCAATTAAGGTCAAATCGTTGATAGCTCTTTGTTGATGCGCATCGCGGTCGTGTTTATTCTGGCAAGACTGTTTATCACAGTCGAGATCGTTCGTTCACTGGCCCTTCTTCCCCCAGGAGCGTTTATAGGCATCTTAACAGCGAAAATCCCACACGCTGGTTGAGTGAGCAAGGAATCTGAAACCTAGATTGATGGGATACAAGTGGTTTCTTAGAAAGTTTTATACAAGGGAAGCATATATCCAAATCTTTTCTACCAGGGGTTGAAAACATATGGAATTGCACTTATTAATGTACGCCGTATGATGCACGAAGACATCCCAGCAGATAGAAAAGAGAGAGTCGGAAATGGAGAAAGGGTTCTTCGCAAGGTGTTTCAACCAAAAGAAAAGTCATTGAATAAGAAGTGAAGAAGGAGACATAGAATAAAGAGAGAGAGGGAGATATCCATAGATGGAAGGAAAAAAAAAGTGCTGGAAGGGCAGCTGGTCTCGGCTACTTTTTTTTTTGCCTTCTCAAAAGCGCCGTGAATACTAGATAGAACACAGTCGAGGGAATAGCAGAAGTCCACGATCATCAAAGCCGAAATCGTCTTCCATCGACTTTTCACGTGTAGATGCACATTCATTTGGACATGGCAATGGAAATGGAAATGAAGTAGAACCAAGACATAGCCAAGTACACTAACTAATCTCCACCAAATCACCTAGGTGTAGTTCCTGGTTGGATGCGCCAGTTTCCGCCTGTTGAAACGGGCGGTGCGGGAGGCGGGCCATTGGGAGGCGCGGTGCGGGAGGGCATCGTTGTTGAGTGCAGGTTCGTGCGGGGATTGGAGTTGTTGGAGCTGGCAGAGCGGGGGCTCATGAATGGGCGAGATGGGGCATCGAGAGCAGAAACAGGCTCGTTCAGGTGCTGACGCATCGTACGACGGCCGGATCGGCTGTCCTCGTCGTTTGCCTCCAGCGAGAGGTGCTCCAGAGAGGGGGGTGGCGGAGACCGCGCGTTTTGGGACGAGGATGATGAGTAGTACTGAGGCTGTGGCTGGGACTGGGGGTAGTAACGATGGCTGGGTGGGACCTCGTTGGCGATCTTTAGAGGAATATCGCCCGATACAGGGTTTGAGGGGAATGGCGACTGCTGTGGGGTTCGTGTTGGCTTGCTGATGAGAGGGGGTTTGCCGGTAGCGGCTGATGTATGAGCTGCGGCCGGAGACGAGGTCGAGGTTGAGGTTGGTGTCGAGGACTCCCTAGAGAGTGATGTCGATATTGGTGGTCCCAAGTAGGACTTGCGCTTTTCTTTGTCCATCATGCTCGTTGCCCATCCTTCGAGGTTGACAGGTGTGCGCTTCGCGGCCTGCAAGAAGGCATCTTTGTCCTATAAGGCGTTAGTAAATGTGAAAAATAGCTGCAGGTCAAAAAGAGAGATAAGCATACATAAAGCTCTCGTGGGGTTGGTCGTTCCTCGGATTTTTTCAAGAGACACTTCCCAACAAAGTCATGTAGGATAGGCGGGAAGGCATCACTCTTGGGCAGCTTGGGCGCTGTTTCGTGCACAATTTGCTGGAGTAGATCCAGAATTCCCATCGGCCCTGCGCTAGCACGGTTTCCGGCAGCAGAGTCGGAGTGATCGAAGGGGAACTTTCCAACGGCCAGCTCCATGACCGTCAAGCCCACGCTCCACACGTCGGAACGGACCGTATAGGCGCCTCCTTGAATTCGCTCTGGGGCCATGTATGTGGAAGTGCCAACGAATGTGTCGGCAATCGAGTTAACTGTTTCGGTAGCAACACCAAAGTCACAGAGTTTGATGTTGCCGCGGGAGTTCAGTAGGATGTTGGACGGCTTGATATCACGATGCATGATGCGGTGGGTTTCGTATAGGTAGACAAGTCCAGCCAAGACGGATTCGGTAATCTTTCCCAGCACATCCACTCGAACAGGTCCGAAATCTTTCGAAACACGGTCGAGAGATCTGATTGCTCGTCAGCTATATCCTCTTTGTTTCCCATATCGGTTCACCTACCCGAGATCCATATATTCCATGCATAGCACAATATCTCTCGCCTCGTTTTGGAATGCACCATAGAAAGTGACAATATTTGGACAGTTACAGTCGTGTCCGACTCGCAGTTCTCGTAGAATTTGTTTCCGCACGTTCTCTTTGGCCTCCACACGGATAATCTGCGGGGGGGGGGAGAAACCAGGAAATTAAGAGTTGACCAACAAGATGGACCACATAATAAACAATACACACCTTTCGAGCCATCACCACCTTCGTGGATGCGTGCATCACCTTGGAAACAGTACCTCCATTTCCAGCGCCGAGTTCCTTCAATGTGACTAGGTCTTCACTGCGAAGATCGAGACGAAACTCCAGTCCGATTTCGAGCGTATCAGTGTGGTTGAGTTCGTGATTCCCAACAAGTCCAGAGGCCTGTGAATCGCCATCGGTAGGATTGGAGGTGGGTTTAGGGGCTGCATTGAGAGCAAGACCTTTGACATTCTTGCGTTTCAACGTTCGAGCCTGGAACTGGTCCGCCATGGCGCTTGGTTGGAGGAGTTGGAGTTGTGCAGGGGGAAATTGTGATAGAAAGAAAACTAAAATCCCAGTCGCCTGAATTATATCAAATGCGCGTTACCCAGACCGATGGGATCAAAGTGGTCAGAACGAACCCCCGAGCTAACAGCGGGGAAGTCGATATCACCTTGCGATGTTCTTGGCGACGCTGATTGGGCCTTTCGGGCGCGTCGATTCGACCAACTATTACCAAAATTTGCCGGTCGGCGGCAAAAAAAAAAAATTTCTATATGTATTATTGGAGGGAGAAAACAAGAAGATCTTCAAGAACTATGAAATACACTGAAATCAAAGGTGTTTCGGAGGTTCCACCAGTCCTTTGGGCTAGCTTTGGGTACTTGTGGGTTTACACAACCGGTTTATGATAAATGAGATGGGCAATGGTGTTCAAAGTTGGGGCATATGCGATAGTCTCGGCCCTACATCCATATTACAAAACGATCTGTATGTTGAGAATCCGACCAAGGCATTATTCAATGTACATTGTGCTCCATTCGGTGGACACATGTATTCCCGTAGATAAATCAGGCCGCTAACGTATTCGGTAAGCGAGCTGGCCACCCCAACCAAAACGCGTCCATGAATTAGATCTTAGTTAGTTCAACCACCCACCATGCCACCAATTCGTACTCAGTCCTCTCGAAATTCAATAGAGTAGGAGGGTAGGATCGTACTAGCTATCCAGGCTTTTAAGAATCAAGAAATCTCTTCAATTCGTGAAGTAGCGCGCCGTTTTAACGTTTAACGTCCTAAGATCTACCCTTTCTACCCGCCTAAATGGTATATAACACCGCGCGATTTCTCGCGCTAACTCTTATAAATTAACCGATACTAAAGAGGAATCTCTTTAGAAATAGATCCTCTCTATAGATTCTCGTAGATTAGCCCCCTAGCCCTCTATAGTACGAGAAATAGTAGATCTTCTTCTTTAAAAGCGTAGAACTACCCTAGTTCTTTCGGTTAGCGAGAAATATGTATAGAACTTCGTAAAACGGTATCCTCTCCTCTCCTCCCGATTCTCGAAACGATATAACTACGAGCGTGCGAAATACAAAGATCCTAAAATTATTATAGAGTGGTTTAATTTAGTTTAAAAGACGATCCTTTAATGTAGATGTTACGCACTGCCTAACTGGTCACAGTTATGTTGGAGCTTCCCTGATTATACTTGCCTGTGCTGATCCTCCAACGTCAACGATCTGCCTCTCAACCGAGCTGTTGCTGCGCACAGTCTTATTCCAGCCTAAGTCCTTTTGAGGGTATCGAGGAACGATGCCAGGTAGAGCGCCGAGTAGATCTATACCGCAGTATTGGTCTGCTCGTAGGTGTTGTCAAGTGATAATATAGTTAATGAGTCAACGTGGTTCCAAAGGTAAACACAAGTAACAATGTAGGATTGAAGACGAAGAACTAAACTAAGTACATGATAGAGTGTCCTTATATATCTGTCGAGATGTGTGGTGCCACCTGTCACGGTGCGAACCGTGACACGCACCCTGACT